TTTAGTAAATGTGCTGCCAAAGTGTACACTCCGGAGATGCCCTTTTGGCATCTTTTTTATTGTACTGTTGAAAATAGTTAGCTTCGAAAGCTGGCATGGTGGCACACACCTGTAATCCCAGCACTCGGGAGGCTGAGGTAGGAGGATCGCTGTGTGAGGCCAGCCTGGGCTACAAAGTGAGCTCAAGGCCAGGCTGAACTGCATAGAGACCCTGTCTCAAAAAGGCAAAAAAAAAAAAAAAAAAAAAAAAAAAAGCTTCATTTAATGTTGATTTTTTTTTTTTTTGCAACCGTCCTCTCCTTCACCCCAACTTTATGGACCCTGACTTTACAGGAGCTTCTTTTCTGGCTACCAGGAAAATTTTTCACTTGGATGTGATTCTCATGTTCATATGGCTAAAAGTTACCTGCACTACCCAGGCTACACTGGGCTACTTTGAAATTTCCTCCTTCAAATTAATTAGCCACCATTAACCACAGCTCCCTGCAATGTCATGACATGGGAAAAATGCAGACAAACTTTCTACCAGAGTGTAACACACATGAAACTGTGCCCAGTTGTAAGTTGTTTCCTTGCTCCCAATTGAACCTTCCACTGTTTTCCACTGTCTGCATTTCTCTCGGCACTCTGGTCTCCCAGCTCGGACCAGAACCTCCCATCAAGCTCCATTCACAGTGCTGTAAGCCTTCTGGAATGTTTTCAGACTCCTCCTGCAAGTTAGTTCCGAAGGCTTCTGAACCATGTGATCAGGTATAGTCACATCAAAAATCCCACTTTCCTGGTACCAAAATCTTCCTTAGTCACTTTCTTGATACTGAGACAAAATACTGAATACCCATAATTTAAAAGAGGAGAGGTTTTATTTTGGTCTCATAGTTTTTAGATGTTTCCGTCCACAGTCGGCTGGCTCCTAGGGAGAAATGGCATGAGAGGGGCATCCCAGAGCAAAGATGCTGACATCGTGGTAGCTGGGAAGCATAGTAGAAAGGGAGGAGAGGAGGCAGGGAGCTAGACCTGCCTGTCCAGGTCACACACCCGGTCACCCACCTCTTCCAACCAGTCCCCACCTTCTTACAGCAAGTCAGCTATGGAGTACCCGGAATCAAGTCACCATCCTAAAGCCCCACCTCTGAACACAGGAGGCTTTTGTGGGACAGTCTTGGTCTAATCTGTAACCCTCGAAAAATGAGGAAACAATGAAGGAGAACCAAATCACCACAGAAATAGGATTCAGAAAGATGTATGACATTTACATACTTAGCATTCATTTTAGATGAGCAACCATGATAGTGTTAAAATGTGCAGGTAGGGCCCCAGGGTCAGCTGTTAGTGAAAGACTCTCTTGCAGATGTGGAGAAGCAAGATGGTTCCCAGTGAAAAACACCTAAGGAGGGAGGGGAAGCAGACCAGGCAGAGGAGGAACGGGAGGATGCCCAGTGTCAGCCTCAGCCAGGTCTTCGGGGCTGGTCAGATAGACCTGTCCCCAGCTGTCCTATTGGTTCAGGGTGATCAGACCTGGGGGTCCCACGGCTGGTTTGAGGGAAGAAGTGGCAGGTGAGGTGCTCTCTGCAGACAAAGCCCTGGGTGCTTTCTGGGAGTCACTTTGCTCATGCCCACGACAGCCTTGTGAGGTAGGTTTATGGTGTGCATTTGACAGAGGAGAAGACTGAGGAGTAAAGTTCAATGTCCGGGGCTGTAATGCAAGCCAAGATCTGTCCAGGGAGTGACAGTCCCCTCTGCTGATTTGTACCATGGTGACAAGGAGAACTGCTGGCCCAGGAATTCTCCCTGATGTTTCCTTCCCAGGGAGACCCCATGGGCAGTCATTTCACATCCTGATCTGAGTACTCTGAACTGCTAGCATCCTCCTGGAAGCTGAGGGAGGTGTAAACATGCTCATCCTCGTCATCTGCCAAGGTGGTCATAACTGCAGCCAGGGCTGGGCAATGCGGGCTGCCTGGCCAGCTCTCATGGCTGTGACCATGAAGAAAGGAGAAAGGGCATGGGTGAGGATGATGGGGCCTGGCAGAGAGGAAGAAGGACCTTCAAGCAAACTAGGAAAGCGAGCACATCATCACCCATCCGCTTATTCCACCAACATTGCCAGTGCCCTCTTTCATTCATTCATTCATTAACTCATTTGTATTCTTTCAATACATAGTTCAGAGTAAAGCAAGTCTGACTCCCAGCAGGGCAGACCTGAAAGCCTGCAATTCCATGCCCTGTCCTCAGGGAAAATTGTGCCAAGATGTGAGCTCCAAAGAGTTTGGGTGGTCTGCCTGTCAGGCATTGCTGGTTGCAGCTGTTACAGCCTCTCTATTTGAGGTGGTTGTTTACAGCCTGTGGGGTTTTCCTTGGGGGATGTTCCACATTTTTGACTTCTCCAAACTCCTGTGGGCCCCACTACACTTTGGGCTTCACTCTGACAGCTTTAGGGCCTGCAATCAGGGGCCTACTGCCTGTCTTTGCAGGCTTATCTTTTGAAATGCAGTTGCAAGCATCTCTGACCCCACAGCTTCTGCTTTCTGTATTCCTATAAAAAAAATCACAAGGTGGATGATAAGAAGCTTGATCAATAGCAAGGCTCCCTTGCATCATGGCTGCAGTAGCCTCTGAGTGGCTGCATGACTGAACTCTGGGACTCTTTCCGAACTGGCCCTGATAGACCTGGGCTATTTGGTGCTCTCTTCTCAAAGCAGTCTTTCACTTTTACACCATTCAGCATGTAAGGAAACAGGCTTTGCTGATTCCTGACATGCCCTCAAAGCATCTTGCTTTTGTCCTGATGCAAAATATTTAGCTTCCATTAATGTTAGTTTTTTTGACAACCATCCTCTCCTTGGCCCCAGCTTTGCAGGCCCTAACTTTATAGAAACTTCTTTTCTAGGACAAAATTTCAAATTTCAGCTCTGTTTTTTGGTCCTGATTCTCATGGTAAACATGCCTAAATGCCACCAGCTCTACTCATGCCACAGCCTGAAGGATGGGCTGTTTTTAAATTTCTTTCTCCAGATTCATTAGTCAGAAGCCATTTAGCTCAAGTTTCCTGCAGTGTCAGAAGATGGGGAAAATAGGCAAATTTTCTATGAAAGTGTAACACACATGGACTTGAGTCCAACTGTAAATAGTTTCCTTGTTCCCGGTCAAAACCTCCTGAGCCTTGTTTTCACTGGTGCATTTCTATCAGCATTCTGGTTCTGAGATCTGGCCAGAATTTCCCCTCAAGCTCCACTTACAGCATTGTGGGCTTCTGTAGCCAGCATCTTCAAACCTTTCCAAACTCCTCCTGCAAGCCAGTTCTGTTAGGACAAAAAGGTAAAGAAGCAGGAGTACAAACTCAACAGGACAGGTTAACTCCAGAACAAAACTGAAAAGGCACCACTCTGGCACTAGAGCCCAGACCCGCTTACTCTCCCACAGGCTGTAAGGTCTTTATAGTGTCATGAGTATAAAAAAGGTAGGGCTGTGGAATGAAAAAGCCACAGTGGGATTTTTTTTTTTTTTAAACAGGGGATGGGTGCTTGGTACAAAGGAGTTTTGATTATCCACCTAGGACCAGTCTAGTGGATTTACAAGGAGTTGCATGTATGTTGGGAGCTGATGAAGCTGGATATTGGTCATATGTGTGAAGGCAGAACAGAGCTAGAGTGTCTCAAGCAGTCAAGCTACCTCAGTATTAAAAAAAGCATCCTGCCTGGACAATTACAGTCATTAGTTGCTAGGTAACATTACCTCTTCTGATACTAACTTTGCAAGAGTATAAAACAAATGCCCCTACTATTGAAGTCAGTCCTCTTCCCGGAAAGAGGTCCACCTGACCCAGCTCTTGTCTCTTGTCTTTATTTTTCTCATACCCATGACCATTTGTCTCCGTGGTACAATGAGAGACCAATGAGGTTCCCTCCATGTAGTTTTTTAAGAGCAGGGCTGAACAATGAGTTGGAATGATACCATGTAGCTGTGCTTACTGGGCCTTATCAACCCATGATGAAACATCAGTAGGTGTAAAAGCACAGCAGAGGAAAGGGATTCTAAGTGGTTCTGCCTAGACCAGTATTACAGCAGTGAGATTCCGCTAGTGCCAAAGGCGCCTGGACCACGTGGTCAGGTAAAGTCACAGCAACAACCCCACTTCTCTGGTACCAAAATCTCTCTTAGCCACTTTCTTGATACTGAGATGAAACACCAAGCATCCACAAATTAAAACAGGAAAGGTTTACTGGAGCTCATGGTTTTCGGAGGTTTCAGTCCATCGTGCGCCGGCGTCAAGGCAGAAATGGCCTGAGAGGGGCACAGCAGGGGAAAGCTGCTCACATCAGGCAGCAGGGAAGCATAAGGAGAAGGGAGGAGCCAAGGAGGTAGATAGAGCCTTCCAGGCCACAGAGCGGGGCCTTCTCTCCTGCCAGAACCCACCTCCTGACAGCAAGTCAGCTGTGCCCCATTCTCCAGCTGCCACCCCAAACCCCCATCTCTCCATACATGAGGCTTCGGGGGCTGTTCTTGTCCAACCATAGCACTCGAAAAATTAAGAAACAATAAAATAGAACTGAGATGGGATTGGAGAAAGAAGTAAGCAATTTACAGACCTGGCACTTATTTCAGATGAACAAGAATGACAGTGCCGACATGCACAGGCGGGGTGCAGGCAGCAGCTGCCGGCAGGTGTCTGAGTTACTTTTCTCTCGTTGCTGAGACAAAATACCTGATGCCCAGAATTCAGGGAGGAAAGGTTTATTAAGCTCACAGTTTGTGGAGGTTTCAGTCTATAATCAGCTGGCTTCAAGGCAGGCTGGCAGGGCAGAGGAACAACACTTCAAGGTGTCACGAGACAGCAAAAGCAGCAAGAGCAAAAAAGTGGGGAGGAGAAGCCTCTTTCCCTCTCTTATATTGTAAGCAGGCTCCCCCCACCCAGGGGATGTGTAGCTCTCACATAATCTCCTCGCCCTCCTCTTGCACAGGCTTAGGATGAATACAAAGTAGGGACCTGCACCCTGCTCACTCATTTAACCTTCTAAACTTCTCTAGTTGACACAATGAACAACATCGTAGAGCAGGAGGGGCACATCCTTTTCCACCTCAGGATGTAGAACTGCTGAGTTACTTAGTTAAGCTTCAGGATTCCTCAACTTGACAGAAAGTATCAACCATCTCGGCAGGAGACTCAGGCGCGCATGCGTGCCCGTGCGTGCGTGCGTGCGTGCGTGCGTGCGTGAAGGAGGAGTAGGATGATTCCCAGTGAAAGCACCTAAGGAGGAAGGGGAAGCAGAGCAGGCAGAGGAGGAATGGGGTGCATCCCAACAAGAGCCCCAGGCACCACTTTGGGGGCTGGGCAGCTACAGCCACCAGGTTCAAGGTGATCAGACCATCCGAGGAGTGGGGCAGGAGGCGCCACACTTCTGGCTGCCCTGGGAGGCGGTGGCAGGTGAGGTACTCTGCAGACACAGCGCTGCATCCTCTGTTGGAATCGCTTCCCTGGGACGGCAGCATCCTTGTGAACCAGGTTTATTGTGTGCATTTGCCGGAGGGGAAACTGAGGAGTGAAGTTCCTTGCTCAAAGTCTGGAGTTGAAATGGGGGCCAGCTGTGTTGCCAGCTGTGTAAGAACTCCCCACTCCACCGGCCGGGACCCTGATGACATGGAGATTCCACATTCAGGCTGATTCAGTTCTCCCCCACATCTCCCTTCCCAGGGGCATCATTTCAGATCCTGATCTCTCAGCACCCCGACGTGCTGCAGTCCTCCGGAAAGTCTACGAAGGTGTATTCATCCTCCTCCTGCTCCTCTTCCACAGCGGCTGTACCTGCAGCAAGGGGTGGGCACTGCAGGCTGCCTGGCCAGTTCTCATAGCTTTTACCCTGAAGGGAAGTGGCGAGGGCATGAATGAGGGTGACAGGGACTGGCGGAGAGGAAGCAGGAGCTCGAGCACATCAGGACACTGATCAAGTAGTCTTTCATTGTTCATCCCGGAAAGTATTCATTCACTCATTCACTTACGTGCTTTCAACACATATTTGATAGTAAAAATGGCTCTTGCTCATTGCCTGTTTCAGAAATCTTCAAAAGACTCCACTGTGGCAACACTAATATGCATTTCCTGATGGAAACACTGACACTAAATAAACACCCACAAACCACACCGAGGTTCCTGCCAGGACCCCTGACTCCACCCCACAGCCCCATGGAACAGCTGCCCTACCCTCTCCCTGTTTACTGTAGGCAGACCCCACGTCACAGTCACCCAGCCAGCAGCGTGCAGGGGCAGCAGGCACTGACATGGCTGTCAGTTCAGTCGTTACCTAACAGCAGCTGTGACAGGCTGCACAGAGTTGGGGACACCCATGGCAGGCACATGCTCAGCCTGCACAGCCCTTGGGCAGCTCTGGGCTTGCAGAGCTCGGGCACACAGTGGGGACGCTGTGCCTTGGGTCCCGGACACAGAGGACGCCCTGCAGTGAAGGCCGCACCTGGCCCCAAGGCAGGGTGGACCCTGGTGCCAGCTCCTGGGAGGGGACGGCGAAGCGCAGCCCTGGCCGGGTCCTGCTGGGCAGGAGCGTCGCTGTCTGCTAGGGGTCTGCAGGCCAGGCGAGCTGGGCTAGGACAGCAGTGTCATTTGTGGTGACCACCTTGGGCCACGTGGCATCAGTTTCCACTGCGGAGAATCTGGAGACCAGGCGACTAAGGTCAGCCACGTGTGTGCACACCGTTGCCGTGAGGGGCCACCAATAGAACCCTGACAGCAGGCCCGAGGGGCTTCCCTGTGGGCAGCGCTCTCTGCGGGTTGTCACCCTGTGCTGAGAGCACTGAGCGCTCTCTGCGTCACTCTGCGGGGCGGGGCGGAGCCCGAGCTCGTGCCTGCTCCCTGCTCCCTGCAGACCCTGCTCCCGCACATCTTCCCTTGGCCAACTCTCATCTGATCCCACGGTGACAGACACGGCCCCCGGAGCTCTGGGTGGCCTTCTAGTGAGTCCCCAAACCTGAGAGTGGCTGCACCACTCTGCAGGCGGCCTCAGATTGAGGGTCCAGGAGACCCCAAGGTCTGCGGCAGACAGTACTGTTTTCCCTAATCTCTGGGCTCCTCTGTTGCAGGGGGGACACAGGAAAGAGCGCAGGGGCTCAGGGGCCCGGAGAGCAATGAGGGCACGGGAGTGGGGGGCCGGTAGGATGGGAGCCCAGCCATGGGTGTGGCCTGGGCAGCCCCGACTGAGGGAGACCCGCGGGAGCTCAGCCCCGGGGAGGCTCTGGCTGCTGCCGTGGGGGCTGCATCACGGGGACCCCGCGGCCAAAGCCTCTTGGGCGCCAGGAGTCTCCACCTCATCGTAAAGGATGTGGCCATGGCCGCCCTGGTGAGGAGACCGTGGGGGTTCGGGTGCACAGAGGGCTCCTCACTCACCTTGTAAACAGAACCCGGGGCAGGGGGGGCGCCCCTCCTCGCAGTGGCCGTCCTGCGGTCTTGCTTCCTGAGCGGCTTCACCCTGAGGGAGGAGGGCAGGGCTGTGCAGACTCTGTCCCTCAGAGTTCGGGCGGTCCGGACGTGCTCTTGCCGAAAGGGGCTAGAGAACAGATGAGGTCGGCGGGTGGGGACGCCTCTCACAGGAGGCTCACGATGAGGTGAGCAGAGCCCTCCCAGGTGGCTGGGATTGGGGCTTGGGCACAGACCCTCCCAGCGGGGCCGTGGGGAGCCCCGTGTCAGGCCCTCCCGACCCTCCCCTCCACCCGCCCCGCTTCCAGAGCTGCACACTCACCTGGGGAAGACGAGGCAGGCACAGAGCGCGAGCAGAGCAGCCAGCCCTGCTCCCCCGAGAGCCGCCAGCAGGGCTCTCCACCAGCACCCTGGCTTCCCTGCGGACCAGAGGGCTCTAGGCTGAGGCCTTCACATCCCCACGCCCTCCCTGTTCCTGGCCCACGCGCCTGCAGCTCTGTGCTCTCCGTCCCCGGCCAGCAAAGGACAGGACTCTGTCCCCAGCTCATCCCCTCCCCATCCTGCCGCAGCTCACTTCCCCTGGCCCTGCGCTTTGTCTCCTCAGATCTCCTCCCCACCCCGTCGGCCTCCACCGCTGCGTCCTGAGTGGGCAGCGGCAGGACAGTGGGACTCTGGGTCTGGTGGACATGCTGGCCTCCCACCTGAGCTTTGGGCAAGAGCTCAGCCCTGGGAAGAGGCCCAGGGCCTGGCCAGCAGCTCCTCTGCGAACCACCAGTGCAGGCCCGTGCAGCCCCCGTGCGCTCCCCACTCACAGTGCACAGAGAGGCTCAGGGAGACGCTCCGGGTGCCCAGCGCGTTCTCCGCGTGGCAGCTGACTTCCCCTTCATGCTCCAGCTGCACCCGGGGCAGCTCCAGGACCCCAGGGGCCGAGGGCCAGGAGGGGCTCAGGGCCTGTGTCCCCCGGGCCCAGCGCAGCCTGGCCGGGGGGTGGCTGTGGGTGACACACACCAGGCGCAGGCTCTGGCCCTCCAGGACGGGCAGGGAGGTGCCGTTCCCGAGGATTTCCAGGACTGGGGAGGGAAGCGGCAGAGTCCGTGTGCGGCTCCATCACCCGGGCAGCAGGAGGCCCCGGCCCCTCCTCCCCTCCTACCTGTGCTGTTGGCTCGGGAAACCGTCACTCTCAGGTCCTCGGGAGGATCTGCAGTGCACACAGGGGAGGGGCTGTGGAGGGCTGGGCTTCCCTCTGGGCAGAGGACCCCCCCAGGAGGGGGAGGAGGCGGGAGGGACAGTCACCCGCTGGTCCCCAGCACAAACCGCCCATCCACGCAGGCAGATGAGAAGCCTGGTCCTGCAGGCCTGGGCTCCAGCCCCCTCGGGCTCCGGGCCCCTGTCCCCCACCCCCCGTCCCTCCCAAAACAGGCGGCTCTGGTCACTCACACTGCACTGCGAGGTCCAGACTGCGGTGCTGCGAGCCCAGGCTGTTCTCTGCCCGGCAGGTGTAGCGCCCCGCGTCCGCAGGCTGCACCCCGGGCAGCTCCAGCCTTAGGGGGCTGGGTGCTGAGGGAGGGGACCCAAGGAGGACTCTGTGCTCCAGGACCCAGGTCAGCGTGGCGGGGGGCCGGCTCTCAGCAGCACAGAGGAGCCGCAGGAGCTGGTCCTTGTGCACTTGCAGATAGGAGCCATTTCCCTGCATGTGTGGGGCTGGAGAGAGAGGCGGAGGCAGAGGCAGATGGAGGAGCAGGCCGCGAGACCGCGGGGAGAACAGAGCGGAGCCCGGGGCTAGGGCTCTGCAGCCCCGTTCCCGCGCTCTGCGTGTCTGTCTAACAGAGGCAGGGCTCTCCCCAAGTGCTATTCCATGCCCCCACCCGCCGCCTTCTCTGCACTGTCAGTCCGCAGGTCCCTGTGTTGTCCCTTGACGCCTTGGAGCCTTTTGCCCTGCACATTTCCCTCCTTCCAGAACCATTCACCAAGCCCCTGCCTACTTCTGCTCAAGTATCCAAAACCCAGTCATCAAGTCTTCCAAGCTCAGGGGCTGGGGATCTAGCCTAGTGGCACAAGTGCCTGCCTGGCAAGTGCAAGGTCCTGAGTTCAATTCCCCGCACTAAAAGTTTAAAAAAAAATTCTTCCAAGCTCTTGGGGACCTGAGCCCCCTCCTTCTTGTCTGCCCCCCCCCTCCCAAGTTCCTGGGACAACCAGGCTATGCTTAACCCACACGGGGCTCGGGACAGGCTTCAGAGCTCAGGTCCCTCCAGGCCCCTGCCCAGCCTCGCCTCCTCTGGTCACTGGTGACCCGGAGTGACAGTCCCTGCAGAGTCTCCCTGAGTGACTCTGTCGTGTTATTTTCTAGTGGGTTGGAGGGTTCATCCCCATGGAACCCACATTTCGCTCCTGATGTAAAGCACGGAGCCCTTTACCCAGAGTGAGTTCTCTGCAGCCTGGAAATCCCGTCCATGGGAATCCCCGGGTAACGAACGATTAGAAAGGGAGACCTCAGGCCTCCCGAGTCAGAATCTGCGATGTCCTGGGAGCGGTGGGAAAGTTTAGCAGGTTCACTAGGAGGATTATCCCAGGGGCAGGGTCAGAAGAGCCACCACATGGACCTCTAAGATGGAATGGGGGACCAAACTCGGGGCCTTTCACACGGCAGAGCGGCCACAGACAAGGACAGGCAGTGACGACAGCCACAGGGACCACGGTGGATGTCTAGGACCTGACATAGGGCGGTGTCCACAGGGCCCCTTCCCACAGCTCCCTGCAGTTCCCCCTAGGCAGAGGCCCCAGGGACACAAGCAGCCGCCTTCCTGGGGACAGCAGGCAGAGAAGCAGATGCAGGGCTGCAGGACGGGCCAGGGACTGAGGCCTGATGCACAGAGCTCTGTGGGAGTGAGGGGTGTGCTCGGGGTTTCCAGAGGGTGGTGGTGGGGGCACCGTACTGTGAGGACAGGAAGTGCCACTGACAGGTTCACTTTAAAGGGGTTGATCCCAGGCTGAGCTCTTCCCTCGTTTGCCCGAGGACCTGGGTTCCATCCCCAGCGCAGCGGAAAATGAACTGGGTTATCCCTGTTTTAGGACTATCACCTCTACCTGAATTAACATGAGAGGTGTCAGACACTCATACATGTTTCCATGGTTACATAAAGCTGTGAAGGAAAACAGGGTAAAGTGAGCATCATGGAAAACTCAGACACGTTTGGTAGAAGCATAAGGAAGTGAAGGAAGAAGAAACTCTCAGGACCGGGCGCTGTCTAGGGCAGGCAGGGGGTGAGTGGGAGCGGCTGCGGGGGCTGGGGGGGTGCGTCTCGTGTGGCCCCCTCCGCTGGGGGATGCCTGGGCCTTGCAGTGATGTGACACTTCTAAGCACATGTGCTGAGCAGAGCAGCCCCGTCCCTCTCATAGAGGAGAGAGTGAGGCTCCCCATGGCCCCCGTGTGCTTCTCGGTCAATGTCCAGATCACTGTGCTCCGTGCCGCTGGAGAGCCGCTCTTGCCCGACCTGGGGAGGGACGTCCCACCCACCTGTGCCATGGGCGCTGGTGACACGGATGGTCAGGTTCTGAGGAGGATCTGGAAGGAGGGGCACCGTGAGGGCGGGGTGCACAGCTAACCCGTCCTCCTCACCACCACCCTGGGAGCCCCAGAAACCACAGGGGAAGTGACACAGAGGGAGCTGGTGTCTGCAAGGTCTCATCTGCCACCTGGAGCCAAAGCTCCGCTGCTCTGCCTCAGTCTCCCCTGCTGCTCTGGCAGACCCACAGCCTGGTGGCTGATCCATGACAAACTGATCTCAGGAGGCTGCCAGTCCGAGGTGCAGGCAGAGGCAGAGGCAGCGACAGGTGAGGCGCGGGTCCCGCCTCACTGCGGCACCCCCTCGCTGTGCCCTCACAAGGTGGAAGGGACGGGGTCTCTCTGGGCCCTGGTACAGGTGCTCTTGTCCTGTGCGTGAGGCTCCTCAGCGGCACCCCACCCCCTCCCATGCCACCTCCATCACCATCACCTGGGGGTCAGGATTCAATCTATGAATTTGGGGGACACAGACACTCTGAGCCTAGCACCCCCATCCCGGGAACCCAAGCATCCTGGGCTGGCACTCACAGGACACATTGAGCTGCACAGTTCTCTCCTTGGTCACCCCAGCCTCAGGGAAGGTCACCTGACAGGTGAGGTGGGAGCCGTGGTCCTGAGGGCGGGGCTGCAGCAGGATCTGGGAGGAGTTGTGAGCCCCCAGGCCCGACCCTGGCGACCGCAGGGCGGCTCCGCTCCAGGAGAAGGTGGGGTCCGAGTTCCCACTGCAGGCCCCGGGCATGGAGCACAGCAGGAGGCTGATGTGTCCAGACACCAGCAGCTCGGGGATGTGGATGTCCGGGGTCTGGGTCAGCTCTGGGGAGGAGAGAAGGCCAGGCCAGGCCCCAGAGAGGCCCCTGTGTGTCTCTGAGACAGACACCTCAGTCCTGAGGGCTCCCATACTCTGCTGACCTTTCCACACTAGGACAGGGGACCTACTTGCTCCTAAGGGTCCCCCCTCCCTTTGCCCTTTCCAGGGCCCTGTTCCTTACCTGTGACAATCACAGTGACCATCCACCTCCGGTAACTGTATTTCATGCCTCCTCTCTCCAGCCGAAAATAGTAAATTCCACTGTCCCCCCTCTGGGCACCTGCGATCCTCAGGGAGCAGTTGTAGGCCATGGGGTCCCCGAGGAGCTGGAAGCGAGGTTTAGTTCTCATTCCAGCTTTCTTGCCTGGGTCGTTCGTGGCCACAAGTTCATCTGCTGTGTACTCAAAGAAAGAATTCCTGCTCTGCCGGTACCAGCAGCCATAAGCAGGGATAGAGTGGCTCCAGCCATCCTGGGGGTAGGAGAAGGAGCAGGACACCACGACACACAGGTTCTCCTGCACCGTCACCAACCTCTGCACCTGCAGCCAGTAGCTCGGCTCCTCCTGCAGGGACCCTGTGGGGACCCAGAGGCTCAGCTACAGCGGCTGCCCCAGCTGGGAGCCCCGCTGCTCCCCGCACTCACCCGCCCAGAGCGCAGGCAGCAGCAGGGCCGGCAGCAGCATGCTGGCTGGGAGGGGTGGCGGGGCCTGGACACTCCGGCCTGGGTTCTGCCCTCCTGCCAAGGACGCCAGCACAGGAGGCCTGGGGGCGGAGTGGTGACAGCCACCGGGAGGTTCCTCAGGAAAAGCACTTGTGTTTATCACAGATCCTTTTCTGGCTTCTCCTTTCCAGGTGGTGGCAGTAGAGCCCAGGCCCCGTGAGGGACTTGTCCCACCCAGAAGGAGCCACCTTGGCTCAGTCTCAGGGCAGGGTGTCCTGGGAGAGGGGCTCCCAGGGGAGCAGGGAGCAGAGGCAGATGAGGTTGAGGGGGTGCCATTCACTCAGTCATTCCCTCCTTCACCTGTTCATTCATGGCCCAGGCAAACGGCCCCTCCATGTGGGGACTGGAGCCTGAGATCCGAAAATGACCCCTGACGGCTTTCACATCGTGGACTCGCTCTCTCTGAGTCCAGACCTTGGGATGCCCCCGTCGGACTCCCCAAGGGCACTGCTTCTCCTGCCCCTTTGAGGTCTCCATTTCCACACCAAGCTCCCAGCTCCGCAGCAAGCAGCAGGGCAGCTGCACAGGGCCGGGGTCAGCACCTCACGCCGGTGTCTGAAGTTCCCTTGCTACCACCTTTGAACTCCTAGCAATTTTATCTAGAACTTCCGTACTGGAAATTAAATCTGCCCTTTCCCTAGGCTCTGGGCTCTGGCCTGGGTGACGCGGGACCCCCTGAGCCCCTTCCTCCATCCTGCTGCGGTGCCCTGAGCTCCTGGAGAAGCCACCAGCCCACACTGCCACACTCCAGTCTGCTGGCCACCACGGCCCCTGAAGGAGCTTCCTTAGCCCCAGGGGACCAGGAGCACCCAGGGCTCATAGTCTGGGAGCCCCAGCACTGACTGGGTGGGTCTTCAGAACTGTGCTGTCCTGGACCTTCCCCAGGCCCCGCCCCGCCTTGCCACCCACCTTCAGGCTCTACTTGCATCAGCTGCGCAGTGCTCCTGGGCCTGGCTGAGGGTCTGAGCCTGCTGCCAGGCCAGCCCCATCCTCCTGGGGCTCCCATTTCCGCCTGCAGTCCCCCTCCAGTGCTGGGAGCCACTGGAGGTGGAAATTGGCCATAGATGTGAGGGCAGGACAGAGCCAGAGTGCCTCAAGCAGTCAAGCTACCTCAGTCTTGAGAAAAACATCCTGCCTGGACAATTTCAGTCATTAGTTACTAGGCAACCTTGCCTCTCCTGATACTAACTTTGCAAGGGCATAAGTAAATGCCCCTACTATTGTTGTTCAGGTCCTCTTCCCATCAGGTGAGAGGTCACTCCACCTGACCCCAGCTGTTGCCTTCTGTCTTTATTTTCTAAATGCGCTCACTGTGGGACCACTGAGAGACCACCGAGCCCTACATGCAGGGACACCTGAGGGAGGGTGACACAGACTGGCTGAGGAGTTATTCTGTTTGGGACCCTGAGCAGTTTCTTTTTCAGTCCTGGGGATTGAACCCAGGGCTTTTGCACTAGCTATATTCCCAGGTGTTTTTTTTTTTTTTTTTTTTTTTTTTTTAATTTTTTTTTAATTTTCAAACAGTCTTGCTAATCTCTGCTGCCCAAGCTTGGCTTGAACTTGTGAGTCTCCTGCCTCAGCCTGCCAGAGTGCTGGGATGACGGGCAAGCACCACCATGCCCAGCTCCAGTGAACCAAGTTCTTCAGCACAGGGGCCCAGGAGAAGTTACCAGGTCTCTGACTGTGTCCTGGTGTCTGAAGTCACTTGGGTGGAGGTTCATTCTGTGCACACAGATGCTTCACAAGTAACACAAAGCCAGGATGGGCACAGCTCAAGGGCAGAGCCCTGGACAAGCAGTTTGAGGCCCTGAGTGCCAACCCTCCCACTACACAGAAGCAGAGACAAAGGATGGAGTGGCTTCCTACCTAGACCTGGGCAGACAGCGGAGCTGAGCGTCTCTGGGAGTCGTGATGGGGAAGCATGGGGTTTGAGTCACAGCCGGCAGAGACCCAGGCAGGGGTCGGGGGTTGTGTTCTGTTGCCCAGAGCCCCTGGTGGGGAGACACTGCCTGCACCGTGAGTGAATCAGTGATCGAGGGAAGGAGCGAACGGAGCTGCCACAAACACTTCCCACGAGCCCCTGCCCCGTCCCCTTGAGAACCCGGCTCCCGGGACAGCCTGCTCTGAGGCTGAGCCAGGCTGTCTCCTTTTGATGCGGGCAAGGCCCTCACGGTGTCCCTGCCCAGCGGCCTCACTGTGAATGTATAAGTAGGAAAAGGGGATCTTTGGGGACACGTGCATTTCCGGAGGTTCCTTCCTATGGCTGTCCCAGGCCTGCCCCAGGCTTCCACTTGGAGCACCGCTGGCAGGCGGGCAGGACCAAGGCCAGAGTGTCCAGGCCCCGCCACCCCTCCCAGCCAGCATGCTGCTGCCGGCCCTGCTGCTGCCTGTGCTCTGGGCGGGTGAGTGCGGGGAGCACCGGGGCTCCCAGCCCGGGGCCGGGGCTGTAGCTGAGCCTCTGTGTCCCCTCAGGGTCGCTGCAGGAGGAACCGAGCTACTGGCTAAAGGTGGAGAAGTCCGTGACGGTGCAGGAGAACCTGTGTGTCGTGGTGTCCTGCTCCTTCTCCTACCCCCAGGACGGCTGGAACAGCTCTACCCCTGCCTATGGCTACTGGTACCGGCAGAGGAACAGTGCCAGAGTTGATCACACAACAGATGAACTTGTGGCCACGAACAACGCAGGCAAGAAAGCTGGAATGAGAACCGAACCTCCCTTCCAGCTCCTTGGGGACCTCAGGGTCCACGGCTGCTCCCTGAGGATCACAGGTGCCCAGAAGCGGGACAGTGGAGTGTATTATTTTCGAGTGGAGAGAGGAGAGATGAAATACAGTTTCATGAATCCAACGCTCACACTGACTGTCACAGGTAAGGAGCCTGGAAGGGCTGTGAGGGTCCTCAGGGACAACTAGGGTCCTCCATCCAGTGTGGAAAGTTCAGGGCAGTGTTAGACACCCAGGACTGAGGTGTCTGTCTCAGAGACACACAGGGGCCTCTCTGGGGCCTGGCCTGGCCTTCTCTCCTCCCCAGAGCTGACCCAGACCCTGGACATCCGCATCCCGGAGCTGCTGGTGTCTGGACACACCAGCCAACTGGTGTGCTCCATGCCTGGGGCCTGCAGTGGGGCCATGGCCCCCACCTTCTCCTGGAGTGGAGCTGCCCTGAGACGCCCAGGGTCAGGATTGGGGGTTCACAGCTCCTCCGAGATAGCATTCACACCTCACCCTCAGGACCACGGCACCAACCTCACCTGTCGGGTGACCTTTCCTACAACTGGGGTGACCAAGGAGAGGACTGTCCAGCTCAGCGTGTCCTGTGAGTTTGGGGGCATGATGCTGGGGCACCTGGGGAGCAGAAGGGATGACAGAATGTCTGCGTCCCGCTAAGTCACTGGTTGAATCCTGGGCCCAAGGTGATGGTGAGGGATGTGGGCCATGGGAGGCTGCTGGGTCACAGGTCTGGAGCTCCCATGCATGGACCTGCTGAACCTGTACCAGGGTCCCAGGGAGACCCTGTCCCTTCCACCATGCGATGGGGCAGACAGGAAGTGCCGTCGCTGAGGGGGGACACACATCTGCTTGTGCCCTCAACGTGCAGCCTCCTGAACTTGAGAGATCAGCTTTATCAGTTTCTGCCTGTCATGTCTGAGCCCGGGTTTTGGAGGCCACAGAGCCTCAGGGAGCCAGGGAGGACATCAGCCTCCTCTGAACTTCCTGTGCTGTGTCTGGGGCTCCCGGGGTGGTGGCGAGGAGGACGGGGCAGCTGTGCACCCTGCCCTCACTGCGCCTCTCCTTCCAGATCCTCCTGAGAACCTGACTGTCAGTGTCACCGGCGCCCACGGCACAGGTAGGTGGCATAGCACTCCCAGGCTGGGCACGAGCAGCTCTCTGGCAGCAGAAAGCAGGGCTGTGTAGAAGTTACGCCGGGATGGCTGGGGCAGCCCTGGGGAAGGTGTCTCTGGCTGCTGGACAGTGCCATGGGAGTTTTGTCCAGCATGTGCTGTTAGAAGGAATCCCCCCTACAACATCCCCAGGCCCTCGCCAGGCAGGAGCGTAAGAGAGGGACCTGATCCCACAGAGGCCCATTAGAGCCCCTTCTGCTCAGCCCCTGCATCACCTGGTGAAAGCCAGGCTGTGCTGTGTGTCTTTCATCTCTTTACTTCCATGAGTTCTAACAAACACATCTGAGTTTCTGTGATGTTTACCCTGTTTGTTTCTGTAAACAGAAATGAAATTTATGCGTCACTGCCCGATTTTCTATGTACTAATTTAGATTGAGATTATACTCATAGAAATTGTTCTCATAAAAATAAGACACCTTATCTGATCCTGTACTTTGGAGCCCAAAAGACTCCAACAAGACCTTCAGAACTGATAGATTCAGTAGTGCAGTGGACAGAAAACCAACATTAAAAATCAAAAGATTTTCATTATATCTGTAATGGGCTACCTGAGAAAGAAATCAGGAGAACTATGTTCTTAATCTTAGCTTCAATAAAATTTAACTACCTGAGGATCATCCTAATCAAGGAAATTAAAGACCTCACAGTGAAAATTTCATAACACTGAAGAAAGGAATTGGAGAAGTCACTAGAAAATTGAAAGATGTCCCATGCTCATGAATTAGCAGAATTAGTATTGTTAAATGGCAGTGTTACCAAAAGGGGCCTACAGGTTCAATGCAGTGTCCATGCAAATACCAAGGAGTCTTTACAGCCAAGAGAAAACAATCCTAAAGTTCATAGGAAACAGAAAAGTCTGAAAATAGACAGCATAATCCTAAGGGAAAAGAGCAGTGTAGGAAGCTCCACAATACCCAATTTCAAACTAGACTACAAAGCCACAGTAACAAAAACAGCATGGTACTGGCACAGAAATACACATCTAGCCTAGTGGAACAGAACAGAGGATGCAGAAACAAAACAGCTACCTGATTCTGGACAAAGAAGGCAAAAAATATCTGTTGGTAGAAAGACAGCCTCTTTTAAAACATTGAAACTAGATCTCTATTTCCTACCCTAGGAAAAAAATATTTAAAATGGATAAAAGATTTTGGCATAAGACCTGAAACTCTGACAATGCTGAAAGATAAATGGGGGAAACATCTGAAATTATAGGCAGACAGAGAGGCTTGCTATGTAGGATTCTAACAGCACAGGAAATAATAGCAAGAATTAACAAACAGGACTACTTCAAATTAAAAAATTTCTTCACAGCAAAGAAATGACCAACAGAGAGAAGATACAGCCTATAAAATGGGAGAGAAATCTTTGTCAGCTACTTTCCTAGTGGAGGATTAATAACTAGTATATATAAAGAACTCAAAAATACTTAATATCAAAATGTCTAATAACCTGATCAAAAAATGAGCAAGTGAACTGAGCAGAAATCTCTCAAAAGAAGAAACAGAGATAGCCGATAAACGCATGAGAAAATGTTCAACCTCTTTAGCTTTTAGGAAAATGCAAACGAAAATGACACTGACATTCTGCTTCCTCTTTGCACTGGACAAGGTTGCAGCGTCTGCAATGACCTTCATTGGTGCCCACGTATCTGCCCGGGAAGCTGGGATTGGTTTCCTGTCTGGCTGATGGTTATCATCTGGCTGCTGGCTACCCAGAATGGCTAAAACAACCGAAAAAAAACAATAAATGCTGGCAAGGACCCTGGGAGGTGTGGGGAATGAAACTCTTCTAATGAGAATGTAAATCAGTGTAGCCACAATGCAAATCAGTGTGGAGGTTCCTCAAAAACTAAAAATACAAGTACCACATGACCCAGCTATACCACTACTTGGAATACACCCTAAGAAATAAAGTCAGCATATTATCAGGATCCCTTAATACCCACGTTTATTGTGGCACAACTCATGACAGCCAACTTCCAGAACCAGTCTAGGAGCCCATCAATAGACAAACGGATGAAGAAAATATGTAACCGAGGGAGCGTCAGCCAGCCATAAAGAGGAATGGTGGCTGGAAAGATGGATGGATCTGGAGATCATCATGTTGAGCGAAATAAGCCAGAGACAGACAAGTTCCCCATGTGCTCCCTAAAATGCGAAAGTGTTAAAAGAGGACAAGAAAAGAGAAGGGAGGTTATCAGTAGATGGGAAGAAGGAACAAGGGGGAGAGACAGGGTACCGACAGATGGCTGTATCCAAACGTATTACGCACATTAACATCCAATGGCAGATAAAATTAACAGGTACTAATGACAAGGGAAAATGTTTCTAAGAAGAAAGAATCTATTTTGGTGCAGGAGATTGGCTCTACGGCCTAAGGCTCACAGGGAAGCACTGAGCCAACCCACAGCCCACCATTTCCAAGTCAGTGCCTCTGAGGCAGGGAGTGACCTCACAGTAGGTGCCGCCAGGGGCTCATCTAGTTCCACAGCCCACAGTCACCCCGAGCCCTGGGCCGTCACCCCTCAGGCCTTGTGCAGCCCTGGCTCTGCTCCTCTGCCTGCTGTCCCTGTGGAGTTGCTCTAAATGAGGCACACAGGTGCCTCCTCTCCTGTCTGGCTTTCCCTTCGGCGTGTCAGGTCTCCAGGCTCCCCCACGCTGCAGCCTCAGTCAGGGCCGCTTCCTCTTCGTGCTGGACGATGTTGCGCAGTCCACATCCACCTCCCTCGCTGCCTTGGCATCTGCAGGGCACCCAGCTGGTTCCACCTTTGGCTGCAGGAAGATGGCTGCTTCTGTCCCTGGGGTCTCTGCCTAGGGGGAACTGCAGGGAGCTGTGGGAAGGGGCCCTGTGGACACTGCCCTGTGTGGTCATCCCTGTGGCTGTCATTGCTGCCTGTCCTTGTCTGTGGCCGCTCTGCTGTGTGAAAGGCCCCGAGTTTGGTCCCCCATTCCATCTTAGCGGCCCATGTGGTGGCTCTTCTGCCCCTGCCCCTGGGATAATCCTCCTAGTGAACCTTCTAAACTTTCCTACCACTCCCAGGACATCGCAGATTCTGACTCGGGAGGCCTGAGGTCTCCCTTTCTAATCGTCACCCGGGGATTCCCATGGACGGGATTTCCAGGCTGCAGAGAACTCACTCTGGGTAAAGGGCTCCGTGCTTTACATCAGGAGCGAAATGTGGGTTCCATGGGGATGAACCCTCCAACCCACTAGAAAATAACACGACAGAGTCACTCAGGGAGACTCTGCAGGGACTGTCACTCCGTGTCACCAGTGACCAGAGGAGGCGAGGCTGGGCAGGGGCCTGGAGGGACCTGAGCTCTGAAGCCTCTCCCGAGTCCAGTGTGGGTTAAGCACAGCCTGGTTGTCCCAGGAACTTGGGGGGGGGCAGACAAGAAGGAGGGGGCTCAGGTCCCCAAGAGCTTGGAAGAATTTTTTTTTGAACTTTTAGTGCGGGGAATTGAACTCAGGACTTTGCACTTGCCAGGCAGGCACTTGTGCCACTAGGCTAGATCCCCAGCCCCTGAGCTTGGAAGACTTGATGACGGGCTTTTGGATACTTGAGCAGAAGTAGGCAGGGGCTTGGTGAATGGTTCTGGAAGGAGGGAAATGTGCAGGGCAAAAGGCTCCAAGGCGTCAAGGGACAACACAGGGACCTGCGGACTGACAGTGCAGAGAAGGCGGCGGGTGGGGGCATGGAATAGTACTTGGGGAGAGCCCTGCCTCTGTTAGACAGACACGCAGAGCGCGGGAACGGGGCTGCAGAGCCCTAGCCCCGGGCTCCGCTCTGTTCTCCCCGCGGTCTCGCGGCCTGCTCCTCCATCTGCCTCTGCCTCCGCCTCTCTCTCCAGCCCCACACATGCAGGGAAATGGCTCCTATCTGCAAGTGCACAAGGACCAGCTGCTGCGGCTCCTCTGTGCTGCTGAGAGCCGGCCCCCCGCCACGCTGACCTGGGTCCTGGAGCACAGAGTCCTCCTTGGGTCCCCTCCCTCAGCACCCAGCCCCCTAAGGCTGGAGCTGCCCGGGGTGCAGCCTGCGGACGCGGGGCGCTACACCTGCC